AAGGACCCTCAATTCGGGTCTGATGGTGGCTCATGGTTAGACTGGGGTTGCATGTCTCTGCCCAGAATCCCACAGTGGTGACAGTGCATCCTCCTTAGTGCAGGATGTCAGGAGGGGCATGAAGGTCCTGCATCTCCTCGCCGGCGATGCTGCCCTTGATCCTGTGGTTATGACACCAGATCTCCCCCCGGAGAGCTACCTTCTTACCTTTCAAACTCATAAAGCCCTTGGGAGAGTTACTTTGATGCTACGTAACCATCCTGTTTCTCCTTAAACTTTCACCCACGTGTTCTAGCGTTCTTCCATTGATTGGCTTCTCAGACACGTTATATTTTGTTTTTATTGTCTTACTTCCCTCATGCGACTTGCAATTTGCAACATTCTTATTCTTTTGTTTAAACCTTTTCCTCCCCTGCTGAACAGAACCCGCAGGAGGGTGGGGACCGGATCTGTCCTGGTCCCTTCTGTGTCTCCAGGGCCTGGCGTGCACACACCATAGCTGCTTCACAAATATTTGATTGGACTTGACACCAATCAACAAATCCCAGCTGCTCAGTTCGCCTTGGTCACTCCTGTGTCCCCCGTGCCTGGCACGTCGTTCTGTGCAGACATCTCCTCCCCAGCAATGTTCTCTGTCTCCACGAGTTTCATTCTCCCAGCATAAAAACTGGAGCTCAGCGGAGGAAAGGTGGGAAGACAGATGAAGCTACCTGACCTCAGACAGCAAGTCTGTGAATTTGCAGCTGGATGCCTGGCCCAGCGGGGTCAGGAGGTTTGGGGATCCTGGAGGCAGGGAAAGTGGTCCAGCCTCCTCTTCACTGTGGCATTTGGGGAGGGATGGTTCACGCTCTGCATGCTGGCTTCCTCCTGGGAAAAGTAGGAAAAAGCAGAGCCCCAAGCACAAAGGGTGACGGGAGAGTCCACGGGCAACTCTATTCAGAGAGTGTTGGCTCCGCATTGACCCTGTTCACTGGACAGATACCAGGAGCTGAGCTGCTGAGCGGGAAGGACTCCCTGTGCCAATAAGTGAGGGCCATGTTGGACCTTAAACCCAGCTCCTCTCTCACCACATCACAGAGATGTACTTTTGGTTTCGAGCTGACAAAACCCACTGCATATCTCCTGTGAGTCAGGCACGGGGCCGGGGAGTGGGTGAGGGGTGAGAGAGAGGCAGGCAGAGAAAGACAGAGAGACAGAGACGCACACAGAAAGTAGCACGGGAGACAAGACGAGGGGAAGTTAGAGACAAGGAGACCCAGGGGCCAGGTGACGCGGATCAGGAAAGACCTCCGTGGAGAGACAGGGACAGAGACAGGATTCTCAGCAGGAGGCTTACAGCCAAATCAGACAGTAACAAACAGAGACATTGACACAGAGATGTAGAGAGGCTGAGACAGAGAAAAAGCTAGAGGGAGAGGAGCAGACACAGAGGCGGAAGCGAGAGGCACAGACAAAAAGCGACCCCAACAGAGAAATGGAAAGATCGAGGAGGGAGAGGAAGAGAGAGACAGAGAGAGATTCAGGGAGAGAGACAGAAATAGAGGTTCATAGAGGGGAGAGACAGAGAGACAGAGGCGCCCAGGGCCGCCGCCACTTGGATGATTCTTTATCATGAACCCCTCGCAGACCTCTAAATGCCCCTCCACCCCAGCCCCGTGGGGCCCCACGGGGCTCCTGAATCACAGCCCGGTTGGGTGGGTGGGTGTATTGCGTGCCTGCCCGTGTATGTGCAAATTTTGGATCCAAAGTACAAGAGATGCATTGAGGAAGGGAGGAAGATGTGACTTTGACTTCTGGGGAAATTAGCGTGAACACAGGCACATCTCATCACCCCATCCGACACCTGCTTTACATCTAACCGTCAGAGGAGCCAGCCAGCTCTGGCTGAGAAGGAGGAGGTCCCCGCTAGAAGCATTTGGGGAGGGAGGCAACATGAAGCAAAGAAAATCAAACTTAGAGCTGTGCCCAGTGTCTCTTCCCCTGCGAGGTTCTGGAACGACCGACCCTCCACCCCCCGCCGTGAGGTTTGTTGTGTGGTGATAGAAACCAACTCTCAGGCAAAAAAAGGAGTATAACGGGTTCCTGTAACAGGAGTACAGCTGTTTCGTGGCCTTCAGGCTCAGCTGGACCGAGGTGCTCAAATGATGGGTTTAGGACCTGGGTCTCTCCTGGTCTCTCTGTTCTGCTTTTGTGCTTTCTCCTATTCTCAGGCAGCATTGTAGATGGGGTTCACCCCGGAACGAGCCCAAGATGAGGATCTGAATGCCAGTGATTCCTTTTGGAAGTGATCTCAGAAGATACTGGGAGGGGAGTAGGGGGCAGGGACAGGAAGGGGAAGACAGCCTATGAAGGAAGCATTGCCGAGAGCAAGTTATCATGGGGACAGTGGAGCCCAGTCCCACTGCCTGTCTCTAGGAGGCGGGGACTGCCATGGCCCCCCGAGTTCTCTCATCCGAGGGCAGGAGATGGAGCGTTTGTCCCCTTGCTCCTGTCTGCCACCGGTTCTGGGCTACTCCCCATGGGGCTAAGTCCCTGGACACTCAGCCTTCCCTGCATGTGGGTCCCAACAGCCAGAAGAACCTTCAGCGGGAGTGTCTGCCACCCTGTCCACACCTTGGTCTTGGACTTCTGGCCTCTGGAAGCACAAGGCAGCACGTCCCTGTTGTTCTCGGCCGCCTAGTTTGTGGCACTTTGTCACAGCGGCCCTGGGAACCCGCATGTCCTGTTCATCAGCTGCCCGTCTCTGGAGGGCTCTCCCTCGACCCTCTCCCCTAGTGTTGCACACCTGCTCCTTTACTTACTGCATGTTACCTAAAGATCAACACTACGTTTTCCTTTAAATAGAAAATGTTGTGAGAGTCATACAAGAAAACCCTGTATCTCTTGCCACAAACAATGGGACCCACAAAAAACAAAGATACAGAAAACAAAATGATGTTTTAAAATGCCAGTGGGGCCAAGGACCTACCTCTTAGGGATTAGCGATTGCTGGAAAGGTGTTAAAGATGGTAATACCAGGCGAGACTTTCTTGAAGCCAGCCCCAGGGGAGGAGGAGAGATGCCGCGACCCTCTATGGCTGGCTCCATGCAGGGCGCCCTCCCCTCCTGTCCTTCACATCCACTCACTCATTCAGGGCCATCATCTCCTCTTAGTCTCTCTCTGTCCCATTCCCTAGTCGTCCCCCCCACCCCAGTTCTCTGCTGCCTCTGTGGCTTCCTGGCCTCTCTCTCTCTCTCTCCATCCAGCAACCAGAGGGTTCTTTCAGAAACACAAATCTCTTTTTATTTCAGGAGGAACAAGTGAATTCATTCCCAACATAAAAGATCCAAGCAGTGCAGAAACACACAGAGTGGAAACGGGAAACAAAATCCAGCCATGTCCTGCCTCTACTCTACACTTCTCTATGGTTTCTCATTGTTCTCTGTGTAAACCCCAGGGCCATCGACGTTCAATGTTGCAGTCTGGCCCTGCCTGCCCTTCTCCTATCTCTCTCCCATCCTTGAATAAGACCCTCTTTTTGGCAACTCTGAATGGCTTGCCCTGTCCAATCATTCAACTCTAATTCTCTTCCTTTATCTCTTGCTCACCTCAGGACCTTTGCACATGCCACTTGCATTCCCAGCATGCTGCTCTCTGCCCCCTTATACCAACTTCATCCTTAATCACCCTCAGGTCTCAGCATGGTGACACCTTGTGTTTGGCTGACCTGATCCAGATGCAGACCCTAGGACAAGGATTCCATTGTGTATTCACAACTGCTGTAACAAAGTGCCACAAACCAGGGGGCTCAAAACAACAGAAGTTTCTTCCCTCACAGTTCTGGAGGCTGGAAGTCCAAAATCATGGTGTTAGCAAGTTTGATTCCTTCTTGCATGTTCAGAGGGAGAATCTGTTCCATGTCTCACTCCCAGCCTCTGGTGGCAGCTGGCCACCCTTGCCATTTCTTGGCTAGTAGACATATCATTCCAAATTCTGCCTCTGTTGCCACAGGGCATCCTGCCTGTTTGGCTCTGTGCCTCTTCTCTTTCCTTGGCTGAGGGCTGCTCTGGGAGGTATTAGACCAACGGAGAAAACCTAAAGAATAAGTAGCCAGCCTGGCAAAGTGCAGTTGAGGAAAGAGAATTCTGTTTCTGACAGAGGGAATAGCATTTGCAAAGTTCTAGAGGTCAGCAAATCATGATGCATTTGGAGCATTGAAAAGCATTGAAACCTAAGGGATCGGCAGGGCTCTACCTTGGGAGAGCTTGTAGGCCACACAGAGGTGGGTGGACTTCATCTGGAGGGCAGTGGGGAGCCATGGGAGAGTTTAGAGCTTGGGAGAGACCAGAGGACTGAGATTTTAGAAATAGTCCTGACTGCTGTGTCGTGACGAACTGAAAGGGCTGTGGACGGAAGGCAGGGCTGTTTTGGGAGAATGCCAAGGTCGCACTCCTTGCTGGGCACTGATTGTGCATTATCTCATTTAATTTTCACACCACTGGTCCTGTAACATCGGTTGCTCATCATTAAACCCATTTTACAGATCTGGAAGCTACGGCCCAGAGAACTTAAGGAATTTACCTGGCATCACATACTTTGTCAATGGCAAAGCCAGGAATCAGGACTTGAGCGGGGTGCCCCACTGGGTAGGAAACAGACTCACAATGAGAGATTTGGGGAATGAGTAGTGGGGGATGATGGGGGAACTTGAGGCTGATGGCCATGGCTCTGGCTAAGGAATGGGGGACACATGGAAACTCAGAGAGGAAGCTCTGAGTTGAGAGAACAAAGCTGGTGCAGGCCCAGAGTCCTACCTGGTGGTGAGGACTTGGACCACCAATTCCTGCCAGCCCAGCCCTGACCTTGGCAATTTTCCCTCCCCCCACATTAAGTCAGTTAGACTCTGAGGACATATGAACTCAGACCTGAGTGATGAGAAAGAGCTAGCTACAGGGAGAAGGGGCATTCCAGCTTGAGCAAATAGCATGTGCAAAGGCCCTGGGGCAGAACCGTGCCTGGTATGTTGGAAGAACAGCAAGGAGGCCGTGTGGCTGGAGCAGAGTAAGTGAGGTGGAGAGAGGACGGAGGTTTGGAATCTGGGTTTTAAGAATTGACCTCATGGGTAGAAGGTGCCCTGAACAAGTCTGGATCCTCTGGGAATCTTGAGATGGGGTAACATTGGTCCCTTCCTCAGTGGGTCTTTGGGAGGCTCAGGGAGATGATGCTGGCAGACTGTGTGTGTGAGGGCTAGATTTGTGCCCCGGGGGGGGGGGCCCGGCCCACATTGTGGCACCCCTGAGCCTTACAAGTCCAGGAGCTGGTGCTGCTCTGAGCCTTCCAGAAGTTTTTTCAAAGGCTGCCCAGCCCCCCAGGTCAGAAATCCAGGAATTCTGTCTCAGGTGGTGGGGGCAGGATGAAACAGGATGATGTCACAGAGGCTGGGGGCATCTGGAACCCTGGGGGCTCCTGGCTTCCGCATCATCTTCCAGGAAGGCCACCTGGGTAGGTTGGCTCCTCCTGGGACCAGCCTTCAAAGACACAATGCACCTTGGGCTGCTGCCAGGAGCCACTTCCGTCTAGGACCGCCAGGTCCCTGCTGCTCTGCTTAACTGTCCCTGAGCCCCTGTTCAAGGTCACCTCCATTCCCACCTGGCCACGGGCTCCCTGGGAGACCCTGGAGATGCCCGGAGGCCTCCTGTCCACCGTCCCCAGCGGGACCTAGCTCCACGCCACAGCCAGAAAAGGAGGGGCCGGCCATGGGGTGGCTGCGGCTGGTCCTGGCCCTGGTGGCCGTCAGGGCCTCTCTGATCCTGCTGGGGCTGCTGGTGCCCTCGCAGGCGGTGGTGCGGGCCGTGCTGGATGGCAACTCGAGCACGGTGGACTTTGCGGACTTGCCAGCCCTGTTCGGGGTCCCCCTAGCCCCTGGGGGCATGCGGGGCTACCTGATGGAGGCCAAGCCGGCCAACGCATGTCATCCCATCGAGGGCCCGCAGCCGGGCAACGGCTCCCTGGGCGCCATCGTGCTGATCCGCCGCTATGACTGCACATTTGACCTCAAGGTGCTGCACGCCCAGCGGGCCGGCTTCGAGGCGGCCATCGTGCACAACGTGCGCTCCAACGACCTGGTGCGCATGGCCCATGTCTACGAGGACCTGCGGCGCCAGATCGCCATCCCGTCGGTGTTTGTGGGCGAGGCCGCCTCGCAGGACCTGCGGGGCATTGTGCGCTGCGATAAGTCGGCCCATATCCTCCTGTTGCCCGACCACCCGCCCTGCCCGGACCTGGACTGCCACCCCGTGCTGGCCATCTCCTGGGTGCTGGGCCGCACCCTGGCCCTGCTCGCGTTCGCCACCTTCGTCCTGCAGCGCCTGTGGAACTGGCTGTGGGCCTGGTGGGCCCGTGGGCCGGCGGCCAAGGCGCAGGCCAGCCAGAGGGCCCAGGTGCGCACCTTCACAAGACGCAATGACTTGTGCGCCATCTGCCTGGACGAGTATGAGGAGGGTGACCGACTCAAGATCCTCCCCTGCTCCCATACCTATCACTGCAAGTGCATCGATCCCTGGTTCTCCCAGGCCACCCAGCGCTCCTGCCCTGTGTGCAAGCAATCGGTGGCCGGCACGGAGGACGGCTCTGACTCCACTGTTGACAGCTTCGGCAACGAGGATGACCCCTCGTTGCCCGGCCACCACCCCCCGATCTGGGCCATCCAGGCCCGGCTGCGCGCCCGGAGGCTGGAGCTTCTGGTCCGAGCCAGTCCTGGCCGCCGCTGCAGCACCACCTCCGTGGGTGCGGCTGAGGCCAATGAGGGGCTCCCTGAACCCCTCTGAGACCTGCAGCACCCTGGCTGGTGGAGATCGGGGCGGGGAGGGTGGAACCTAGGAGTGTTTCTAGTCTGGAGACTGGGTAATAAAGTGGGTTTGAAAGCGGATACTCGCCCTGGCTGCTGTGGGCGCTCCGGGCCACAGGCCCTTTGTGCCACCCACATGGCAAACCCCAGCTGAGTCTAAGGCTGGCTCCCCGGCGTCCGTCGGTGAGTGACGGGCTATGCGGCCCGGCGGGGGGCGTGTGTTCTTGGTTCATCATGCCCGTGGTGGCCCTGTGACGGGGCCCTCGTGCCCTGATTCCCATCCTGGGTACACGAGCAGCTGATTCCTTACATGCTTATTATCATTTAAACCTTAAAAAAAATAAACTTGTGATTTTGGAATACTTTTAGCTTTAACAGAAAAGTTGCAAAGATACTCCAGATAGTTCCCAGGGACCCCTCAGCTGGCTCCCCCTGCACGTTCACGTCTTACGTCCACACAGCACGTTGGTCTCCACCGAGGGAGCAGCGTGGGTACGTGGCGATGAACTACACTCCGGATTTCGTTTGCATTTCCCCATCATTTCAGCTACTGATAGTGGCAAATGTCAAACACACTGGAGTAGAGAGAATGGAATACTGACCCTCCCCACATGTACCCTTCACTTAGACTCGACAATTGTCTACTCCTGGCCACTCTGGGCTTCTCTACTCTTCCTCCTCCCTTGCTCAGCTGCTGCAAATCCCAGATGTTTTTTCATCTGCAAATCTTTCAGTTTGCGTCTCTAAAGCAATAGTTCTCAACTGGGGTGGGGATTTTGACCTGCAGGGGACACTGGGCGATTTCTGGGGACATCTGTGGTCGTCATGACTGGGGAGGCTCCTGGCATTGAGTGGGTGGGGCCAGGGAGGCTGCTCCACACCCCAGGGTACCCAGAAGGGTCCCCCGGCAGAGAGCAGTCTGGCCCGAGGGTCCACAGTGCCGAGGGGAGAGACCGTGCTCTACAAGATAAGACCTCTTAAAAAACAACCCTGCAAACTCCAGTATCATGTCCAGAATAACGATTCCTTAATAGCATCACATCCCCACCCAGGGAGCACATGGAAATGTGCACGTTTATGGCATACATGTTTTGTAGGCTGCTGAATCAGGATCCAGATAAAGTCTAGAGTCGCTGATGGTCTCTTAAGCCTCTTTTAATTGAGAGCTTCTCCCTCTATCTCCCTCTCACTCTTAAATTTTCCTTGTAATTTATTTATTTGATGCCACTGGGTCATTCTCCCTGCAAAGCTGTCCCTGATCTGGGTTTTGCTGATTGGGTGTCTCCGTGCTGTCATTTAGCATATTCCTCTGTCCTCTGTAGCTTCTGTTAATTAATTAATTAATTTTAATTGAAGTATAGTCAGTTACAATGTGACAGTTTCTGGTGTACAGCATAATGTCCCAGTCATATCATATATATATAATATATATATATATACACATAAATATATTCATTTTTGTATTCTTTTTTGTTAAAGGTTATTATAAGATATTGAATATAGTTCCTCATACTCTACAAAAGAAATTTTTTAAAATCTATTTTTATATATAGTGGTTAACATTTGCAAATCTCCAACTCCCAAATTTATCCCTTCCCACCCCCTTTCCGCTAGTAGCCATAAGGTTGTTTACTATGTCTGTGAGTCTGTTTCTGTTTTGTCGATGAGCTCATTAGTGTCCTCTTTTTTCTTTTTGTTATTTTTATAGATTCCACGTATAAGTGATATCATATATTTTTCTTTCTCTTTCTGGCTTACTTCACTTAGAATGACATTCTCCTGGTCCATCCATGTTGCTGCAGATGGTATTTTAACTTTTTTATGGCTGAGTAGTATTCCATTATATAAATATACCACAACTTCTTTATCCAGTCATCGGTTGATGGACACTTAGGTTGCTTCCATGTCTTGGCTATTGAAAATAGTGCTTCTATGAACGTTGGGGTGCCTGCATCTTTCTGAATTTGAGTTCCCTCTGGATATATGCCCATGAGTGGGATTGTTGGATCATAGGGTAAGTCTATTTTTAGTTTTTCGAGGTGTCTCCATACTGTTTTCCATAAGGCTGCACCAAGCTTCTGTTAATCTATATTTAGATTCAGGCACCAGCTCAGATGTGGTTTAATTTTATGGCAAACAGATAAGGTGTTTTTTCAGTGCCCAGTGTCCCCCTCCTCAGAAAGACTGAGCCATGTGAAGGGGTCTTCTGGGCAATGAATGAGGGGTATGTGTTAGGCTGTGGGGCAAACATAATCAGGGAGGTCCACGAGGGAACGCTGTATAGAATTGCCTGGAGGCCACAGTGTGTGGGTGATGGTGGCATTTGCACCCGGTTGTTTGGCGTTGGCAGGTTCATAAGCGAATGTTTCTGTTGAGTCAAATGTTTTCTTTTTTACACACATGGGAGTGCTTTTCATTTGTGCTTTGCTGTCTGAAGTTTAGGACATAGCTGGGAACCTCCAAGGTAGTTCAGAGAAAGGATCTCACTTCTTGGATTGATGATGGCAAAGGATGGGCCCTTGGTCACACACCCTTGGTCTGGGGTGTGGGGGGGGGGCGCAGAGAGGTGGGCTGAGACCCCTGCATTCCTAGGAGATGGTAAAGACCTCCCAGCGCCCTTTGAGGGATTTTACTCCCAGCCCGATGGCCCTAAGGCCACAAACGGGGGCTACACTATCCATGGGACACTGCCTTGGTCACTCTACATGGCCCTCAAAGGCCAGGGCTGCCAAGCAGGGACAGGCCTCTCTGTCCAGCAGGCATGGGCTGGGATGAGGATAGAGAAGTGGAGATAGGGAAGGACAAGTGTAGCAGTTAGGCTCAGGGTTGGCCATGGGGTCCGAGACTCAACCAGAGCAGCATAAGCTGCTCATGAACGTGAGTGTAAGCAGGCAGGCCAGGGGTAGAATAGGGGCTCCAAATCTTATTGTTCCACACCGCCAGCAAGTGACCTCCTCATGGGACCAAGTAGCTGCTGAGCTCTAGCTATCATATCTGCAGTCAACGAGGAGGAAGAGGTGAGGAAGGCCTCACCCTCTCCCTTTAAGGACACTTCCCAGAAATCCTATATACCATACCCTATTGGCCAGGACTTAATCATGCGGCCACACTTGCTTGAAAGAATGCTGGGAAATGTAGTCTTTATTCTGAATGGCCAACAATCCACCTGAAAACCATGGAAGAGGAGAGAACAGAAGGTAGGGGTGGCCGGCATGCTTGCCACATGGACACATTCGTGGAACCTGGCCCACAAGAGCAGCCCAATACCTGTTTGTTGCATGAGTGAATGAATCGATGAAGGAATGAATTCCCACAGCTCTAGCTTGAGGCTCCTTCAAGGTCATGGATACCACAGGGGAGCAGGCAATCCCAGTTCATGGGGCAGATGACCTTTCTCATAACCAAGCCAGCAGAGGGAGTGAGCTCACCAACACTAGTGATGAAACCTAGCTCTTACTGAGGCCCTACTATGTTCCAGGCCCCGAGCCACATGACTTCTTTCCACTATTAAACCTCTCTAAGCCTTGGTTTTCACATCTGTAATATGGGCACAGTAACAGTACCTGCCCTTCAGGATTCGCCAAGTATGCACAGTGCCTGACACCTACTAAGTCACTGTTTGTTGTGAGGCGGGAAGCCCCATAAAAAGACTGGCAGGACCCCCAGGCAGGGCCACTACTCTCCTGCCAGCACCATTGGTTCCCTGGCCCAGAGGCTCTATCTCACTTTTTGCCTCTGAAACGGCTAACTTACACCTAAAATTCTATTGGTTCCCTGAGCTCACTTCTGATTGGTTAGCTCCTTCACTCCTGATTGCTTATTACTCTCATTTCTGATTGGTCCACTTCCCTAACTTCTGATTGGTCCTTTTGTAGTACTTCATTTGCATGGAGCTCACTCCTGATTGGTTATTTCTCTCACTCTTGATTGGTCTATTTCTACAAAGCTTGTTCCTGCTTGGTCAACTTCTATTATACTTTATTTGCATATGA